ACTCAAACTACGGCCCTGGGGCCACATGCAAATACAAATATTGTATTTGTTCCCGTTTTGCTTTTTTACTTCAAAACAAGATATGTGCAGTGTGCATAGGAATTTGTTCGTAGTTTTTTTTTTTAAACTACAGTCCGGCCCTCCAACGGTCTGAGGGACAGTGAACTGGCCCCCTGTTTAAAAAGTTTGAGGACCCCTGCTCTAGATGATTCTGCATTTCCTGTGCTGAGTGTATAAAGCAGGTTCATCTCCTAAGTAGAAGAGGAGTCTAGGGTGTCAACCTCCAGTTCCCCAAACAATCCCCTTACTGCTGCTCCCAGAGACCCCACCCTCCCTCCAGGGTGCCGAGAAGAGTTTCCGTGTCCTCTGGCTTTGTCCAGGACTCTTCAGAAAGTTCCTGAATCTCTCAGGGCAGACCAGGCCACCTCCTCTCTTCCTCTCCCAGGTCATCCACAACTATGGCCATGGAGGCTACGGGCTCACCATCCACTGGGGCTGTGCCCTGGAGGTGGCCAAGCTCTTTGGCGAGGTCTTGGAAGAAAGGAAGTTGCTCAGGAGTGTTGAGTTATCCAAAATCCTTGGCTCTAGACCAGCGGTTCTCAACCTGTGGGTCAAGACCCCTTTGGCGGTCGAATGGCCCTTTCACAGGGGTTGCCTAAGACCATCCTGCATACCAGATATTGACATGACGATTCATCACAGTAGCAACATGACAGTGATGAAGTCGCAACGAAAATAATTTTATGGTTGGGTCACAACATGAGGAATTGTATTTAAAGGGCCAGAAGGTTGAGAACCACTGCGTAAGTCATCACTTACCCCCGCCCCCCACCCCTGGCTCCTGTGCACAAGAAGCGTGAGGTGAGAGGGAATCACAGGGTCAATTCCTGGAGGTGAGTCCAGCCCCACCTGGGCACGCTTTGACCTCTCTCTCTCTGGGCCCGACATTACTAAAGCTTACTCCACGAGTCCTCAGAAGGAAGGAAATCTCAGAAAATCAAAGAGGCGAGCAAGGAAATGAAGTAGTTGAGGTTAAGTAACTCGATGACAAGTTGCATGAACATAGTAAAGGTTCTGAAAAGTCCTGCAGCGAAGACACCTACCTGACGTTGTCTTCCTAACCTAGCTGGCTATGGAAACCTTTCGCCCAGCCCTAATGCCACAGAATGAACCGGAGGGAATGCTGTCACAGATTTCACAGGAAGTTATATGTGGAACTGGAATACAGAGGAGGCAGAAGAGATGAGGCATGAAACTACCAACATATGATGCCTGTTTCACATGCAGGATCCCAAATGGCATCAGCGGCCCACCGAGTGGCCCCAGGGACACCACGTAATCCTGAAGAAGGGGCCACGGGAAGGATCATCCCCCAAGGAACCCCTTCACAGAGAATAAACTCACCAAGCTCACTCCTTGCTGGCTCAGCATCTCTCTACCTTCTGGCTGGTACCCCCTGAGATGGCAAACAGGCTTCCAGATGTTTCTGAAAGCCTTACACGAGCCTAGAAGCCACTTTGGCATCTTCATCCCTAATTATCTGCCTCCGTCTCTTAAGTTGAATTTTCATCTGTCTGGTTTTGTTGTTTGCTTTTTTTAAAAAAAGACTGGAGCCTAGAAGTCTTCATGCATCTGGGATCAGTGGCACCCTGTGTGCTGAGAAGAGGTCTCGACTGGCCCACACCATGCTATGTCCATGCCATTACTGTTTCTTCCTGAATTGTTTCACCAGATGGGTTTTGTGGGGGTTTTTTTTTGCATTTCTGGGTCTTTTGCGTTTCCATATAAATTTTACAACCAACTTGCCAATTTCTGCATGAAACGCCAGCTGGGATTTTGATAGGGATTGTGTGGAATTTATAGATCAATTTGGGGGAGTATTGATTGGCATCTTCACAATGTTAAGTCTGCTGAGCCATGAGTCTGGCATGCCTCTCCATTTATTTAGACCTTCCACTTCTTCCGGCGATGCTTGGAAGAAGCACTCCTTTTGTTAAGTGTATTCCCAAGAGTTTTGTTCTTTTTGATGCTCTTGTGAGTGGAATTGTTCTCTTACTGATGACTCTAGAAAGCGCTCTGTTCTCTGGCATGGTGGGAGTAGGGGCATTTGAAGTAGTTCCTCATCAAATATTCTTGACTAACCGAGAAGGATTATAGGTGAGGTATGTTCAAACGTCAAAGAATCAGAATACAGTGAAGCACCACCAGTGGCTCACATCTGGCTGAAACCACTGAGTTTCCGAGGAGCAGAAGGGGCCTCGGAACCTTCTAGAGTTTCATGGTTGGCATCTTGTGTGCCTCCCACAACACCCCGCATCCCTCCATTCGCGCCCATATCACACTGCACCACAGTGACCTGTTCAGGCCTGTACCCCCCACTGCACCCTGAATGATTGAAGGTAAGGACCAGGTCTCATTCTTTTTTTGCCTTCTCAGTGTTGAACATCATGCTTGATGCATGGTGGAGACGCCATGCATGCCAACCACATGCCATCACACGATCCACAGCAGTGACAATAAACAGACTGGAGAGGTTACATATGTGTCTGCCTGGGTTCCAGAAATACCGGTAATTGTGCCACCATGAGGACAGAGCAGGCCAAAGCCACCATGTTTGTACCTCTTGACCCAGTCTTCCCAACCCATCTTAATTGGGCCAGGACTATAGCAAACACTAAACTGGACCAATCGGCTTCCTCCCCTGAGGATTTGGAAGTGGGACACTGAACAGCCAAGTCCGGTATGTTTGCAGAGCCGAGCCATGGTGAGTGGAAGCCATACGCAGGGTAGGCACAGGCAGCAGCCACGAGGAGGCACTACCAGAAGCTGCAAACGGCCCCTTCACCAAACCTGGCCTGCAGCGAATTTCATCGGGCTCACACATCATTGAAAAATGTTTGACCCGACCTACTAAAATTTGGAGATTTGACATAAAAATCCAGATTCCTGTCTTGAAAATTGGGAGATCCCATCATGCAGAAAATAAAAATTAAAAAAAAAATCAGCTACAACTGAGTAGTGGCCGCCCCTTTTCTGGGGGCCTGTCTCCTTGCACTGTGCAGTCCTTCCCTCTTCCTGTACTTCTTCATATGAATTAACCTGAGTCCAATCGCCAGTCCTTGCCAGTAAAACAGCCTGGATGGGAACTCCCCCCCCCATTCCCCCCCCGCTTTATCTTCCTTCTTACATGCTAACAGAATCCCAATTCTGTTTCAAGAGGCTCCTGTGGGAAGTAGGTCTCCCCCCGCCCCCACCCGCCCCCACCATCCCTAGGGAAGAATTCATGCTGGGATGGGCATGGGCCCAGGTCTGATCAATGCGAAGCAACGGTAAACCTACTGAAGGTCTGATAAAGGAACAGACCCATTTGAAGGAAAACCTTCAGTGACTGCTCCTTCCCCGTTCTACTCCTCCTGTGAAAATGCTAGTAAATACGATGCCCGGCCCTGCGGGAGTCCCCCTGTGACCATGAGGCTTCAGATGGCCAACATGCAGACGAGAGCAAGGAAGAACAGCAAAAAGAAGTTGGGTCTTTAATGACACGGTTGAGCTGCTGGGCTTTTCCTAGAACTGCCTGACTCTGGGCTTGCTGTTGAATGAGCAATGACTATTTTAATGGTTGACGCTACCACTGACTGGTTTGACTGCTGCTTGCAGCTCAAGGTCGCCAGTCCTTTGATGCCAACTGAAGGACACTCTTCATCTCATCCTTCAAGGCTCTCTGGTGCTTAATATTTACTTAAAAATAAAGACCGTCCGTATTCACATCAAAGTCCATCCCTACGAGAGTCTTCCATGCCGTTGCCAACACCGCCAGGGTTGTTGATGTGCTCCTGAGAATATCTGAAGGAAGGGGAAGAAATTACTCAACCCCAGCTACACTGAACGTCCTTTGCCATTTTCTGAAATCTCTCCTAACGCAGACGAATGGATGACATTTCCATTCACGGAAACAGGAGCTTTCGGATAGTTCAAAATTAGATGCAAACATCTTCAGCGAGAGGCGTGGGCAACGTTTGTGGCAGCTCGTGTGTCCTTCAGTAATATTGATTTTTATTTTTTTTTTGGAAAGGGCAAGCGATGTAGAAGGCAAAGAATTTTTTCACTTGCATTTTCTCGAGGAGAGAAAGCTCTCAATTGGGAGTGGACATGCTCATCCGGCAGTGTCTGGCCAGCTGGAAGGCAAAAAGGACAAGCGAAGGTTCTGCGTTACCCAGGAGAGCTCGGCAGACCAGAAGTAATTAGAGCTATAGCCACTCAGGGTTCAAGGGCACCCCCCCCCCAGTGCCAGGGAGCAGAAGAGCTGCCAAGCTGCCTCCTCCCCGACGGATTGCCTGGGCCGAGGGGGCAGCAGCCCCTATTCCAGGGACACTGGCTTGTTTGTAGTTGACCTAGGACTTGAGCCCGAAGAAGATGCCCACTGTGACCTCCACACCGTTCGGAGGAAGTGCTGCCTCCCACAGACCCAAAGTCATGATGTTGGCAGCCAGCTGTATGACGTTTCCCCCTTATGGGAAAGACGATCCTATCAGAGCATGGGGAAGCATTGAGGTGACCCTGGCTGGACAGAGTGGGCAAGGCCATTAGGGTGAACGGTCACTAGGACATTAGGACAAACAGACAAACTTCATCCCTTGCGATGTCCGTCACCAACATGTTTTTTTTTTATCCTCAGCCCAGGATATTTTTCCATTGATCTACAGAGAGAGCGGGGGAAGGGAAGGGGGGAGACAGAGAGAGAGAGAGAGAGAGAGACATCGACTGGTTGCCTCCTGCATGCGCCCTCCAACCCAGGGCCGGGGATCAAGCCTGCAACCGAGGTACGTGTCCTTGACCGGAATCGAACCCAGGACCCTTCAGTCCACAGGCTGACGCTCTATCCACTGAGCCAAACCGGCTGGGCCAACGTGTTTTAATAAGAGATGAATGTACACATTTGGCTTCCTCGCAATGTTGACTTCAAGCAGATATCTCCAAGCAGAGGGTCAAGCGTCTCTGGCCTTTGTTGGGACCCAGCAGCTTCCTCCCTCCCTTCCTAGGTTCCCTGCCTTCCTGGTGGGCAGGAGGCTCCCGTAACCCAAATCCAGGAGGTGGGTGTCAGCCCTCCCGTCCAAGGCCAACCCCGAACCCAAACGCCCTTCCTCCTCTTCCTTTGAAAATGTACACATTTCACACATCCGGGTCCCCCCGCCCAGTCCTCCCCAGCTCATGGCACCCCTGCTATGGGTCCATTGCTGGAATCCCAAGAGCTGCCTCTGTGTAGAGACCAAGCCAACCCTTGAGAGCAAGGGCGGCAGAGAAACCAGGGGGAAGGACTCCTGGCCCCTGGGTCCCAAGGGGAGGGGGCGGTTGGTGTAGCATCATTTGTTTTTCTCCGTCCACCCAAGCTCCAAGTCCAAAGCGCTGAGACCTGAGTGAACTGTCCTCTTCCCCCAAGAGTCCCCAATCCGCCTGACCGAGGAGGGGGCCGGAAAAGAAACCCCGACGGGGCCTCCTCTGCTTCCGAACGGGAGGGCCCTGTTTTGGCTTTGGGCTTGGTTCTCGCCTCCCTGTGGGCCCAGCCCCCAATGCCTGGGGTAACAGCTTTCTGGGGTTGTCGTCTGGTGCAAGCCCAGCTGTCCCCATGGACACAGTGGGATCCCCTGGAACCAGGGACAGCAACTCCCGAGGGGGTCAGGGGGGGCACATGGCTCAAGGTCAAATGCATGTCCATCTGCCAGAGCCAGGCCCTGCCTGGGGAGGCAAACCGAGAGGCCCCTTTCCGAGGGAGCGTTTCTCCAACCCAAGAAAAAGCTGCGCGGGCCACACCCGAGTCACCTGCGATTTCAAAGAAGAAAGCCGGGGCCTGGGGTGTAGGAGAAACCTACTGACCAGGTCTGGGTGGTGGGCGGCAGGGCTCCCGGGGCCTGGGCCTGGACTGTGTCTATGGAGACCTTTGGGTGGTTGCTCACCACGGGTGTGGCCGGCTAACTCTGGATGGTGTCTGGCTGGCTACCAGGGTCACCGGTGTGGCAGTTTTCCCATGCAGATCCACAGGTGATTAACAAGCCTCCCCCCACACATCCAGAACCTCCCCCCCGGAGCAAATGCCTCTCCCTCCGTGGGTGGGTCTCAGTGAACAGGAGCCACCGGGGTCCAGGTTGTGCTCGTGGGTGAGTTCTTGGTGTCGGCAGTGACGGTCGGTGCCCCAGACGGGCGCCACCAGCTCCCCGCGCTCCCCGGCCTCAAAGACCAGCTCAGCCCCCCAGAGGTCACTACTCCTGAGAGCCCGAGTTCGACCTGGTGACGCCTGTGCCGTGCGTCCCTCGGCCCACCATCTCCTGGCCCCACTCCCGGTGGCTGGATTCCTGCAGCCCGCGGCCTTTGGTCTCGATGGGCAAAAAGCAGGAGGCCAGTGCAGCCAGGAGGCAGCAGCCACTGTAAACCGCCAGAGACAGGTACACGGAGGATTCCAACATCACCTGGGGGGTGTGGGGGAGTGGGGAGAAGATATGTGTCCATGAGAGCATCCTTTCTGAATGACCACCAACCATTCAGATGACACTGATAACGCCAGGCCCTCTTGTAAACACTGTGTTGATTGGCCCCTTTAGTCCTCACGACAGCTCCATGAGGTAAGGTTCCTTGTCCCCATTTTACAGAGGGAAAAACTGAGGCTCAAGAGAGGGTTAAGTATCATACCCAGGTTCACAGAGATACAAAGGATGGGCTTGGGATTTGAACCCAGACCCCAGCAGGCCCAAGCGTCTATATTCCTTCTATGAACCCTCTCTCCTGCAGCAGCACCTCTGCTGTCTCCCTGGCTCAATGGCACCGGGAAAATCACATCAGGGCTGCACCTCATTTCCTCCATTTGGCAAATGGGCTCAAGGGCAGTGTCTGCCTCCTAATGAGAAGATACCGTGGCAGCACTTGGCACCGGGCAGGCGCATGGCAGGCTCTCAACCAGTATTAGTTAGCAGCGACATACAATGGCCAAACACAGCAGCGCAGAACCGGACTGCTTGGCTCAAGCCCGCGTTGGAATTCCAGGGGCATGAAATACCCAGCATAGATAAGTCCACACAGACAGAGCAGCGCAGTGTGGCGGTTGCCAGGGGCTGCAGGGAGACGGGGGTGGGGAGGGACTGCCTCATGGGTACAGAGTTTTTGGGGTGATAAACATGTTTTGGAACTAACTAGGGGTGGTGGTTACACAACATTAGGAATGTGCTCGATGGCACTGAATTGTTGGTTTAAAATGGCTCCTTTTTGTGTGATAACAAACTTTTGTCTCAATTTTAAAAAGTGACAAAAAGAGGGAGAAAGTAAATTAGGTATGTAAAAAGTAAAGATATTTCAAAATAAGATCCCTAGCCGGTTTGGCTCAGTGGATAGAGCGTCAGCCTGCGGACTGAAAGATCCCGGCTCGATCCCCAGTGTGGGGCATGCAGGAGACAGCTGATCAATGATTCTCTCTCATCATTGATGTTTCTATCTCTCTTTTTCCCCTCTCTCCTTCCTCTCTGAAATCAATAAAAAAATATTTTTTTTAAAAAGCCCTAAAAATAGGTTGAAATGCTTCAAGATACACATCGGGTTGCAAAATTCTACAATTATGTCTAACGATCCAACTCAGAAGCCAGGGGCGGGGACATTCATTTCCCACAAATCATGCTGGCCAACTTGTTCCCATCCAAATTATTTTTAGCCAAATCATATGACACCCCAGAGGTCTTCCGCGTGGGAAAGACCTGGGTTTGATCCCCAGCTTCCCTACTTCCCAGCTGTGTGACCTTGGGCAAGTCCCTTGACCCTTCTGACCTTGAGTTTTCCCATCTGCAAGCCGTATTTCTTTCCTCATAAGACGGATTGTTAGGATGAAATACAATAATACACACGGAGGGCCCCACAGAAGGCTCAGCATATCGTAACTGCCTGCCATGCGCTGGCTTTTGGCACACCCACCCCCTCTGTACTTGGGGGGGGACACCTACCTGAGCAATGAACGGAGTGATGAGAGCACCCACTCTTGCCATGCCACTGCAGGTGCCCAGGCCCAGCGCTCGCGTCGCCGTGGGGTAGACCTGAAACACAGCCACCAGATGTGGCCTTGAGAAAATGCAGGTCCCTCCTGCTGCCTCAGCTCAGGAATGATGGCACTGACCCCCAAGGGTGGGCCTCAAGTTAGGGCGAACCCCTCAGGTCTTGGTGACCCCACTAAGGGGTGGGATCCTGGGGTAAAGACTCTTACCCCAAAGGACATAGGAAATTCAACTGAGAAAGAAGGCGAGAGGCTGAGCTGTGGGTGGGAACCCAGCAAGGAGTTCCTCCTGCCCCCGTGGTGGTCACCAAAGACTCCGCCAGGAACTCCACTCAGGACCCAGGGACTGTCCTACCTGCCATTTTCCACTAGTTGACCTTGAAGCACTCACTGGTCATGGACGTTAAAGGCATTTCATACAGAGAGAGACTGAGATGCTTACAGGGCGTCTCAGTTCATCCCCGGGAGTGGCCATGTGCCCAGTCTCCATGGGGGCGGGAGGGGGTGGTCCTGTGCCCTGTAGGATGTTTAACAGCAACCCTGGCCTCCACCCCCCAGATGTGGTCATATTTCTGCACCCTCCTCACTGCCCAGCTGCTCCCAGACACCCCTCCTACCTCAGGTGTGTAAACATAGGCCGCTTGGAAGCCTCCAGAAATAAACGCT